CCTAGAACAGAAACTGAAGGACGAAACTAAAAACGACATCTTCACGTCAGCCATCAGAACAAAATAGGAGACACTGAGCAACATCCCTGAAGAAACCTGCGTGGAAGAACACTGGAACTCTTTGAAAGAGATGTGGAAGGAAACCTGCATAACTGTATTAGGAAGGATGAAGAAGAAACAAGACAAGGAATGGATCTTGACGGACACATGGAAGCTGATAGAGCAGGGAGAGGAAGATGGTGAGGCAGAAGGTGAACCAGTGCAGTGCAAGGATGAACAACGAAAAGAGGAACTGAATATAACATATAAAACACTGGACGAAGAAGTGAAGAAGAGTGTGCGGAAAGACAAAAGACACTTCTGCGACACATTGACAGGTGAAGCAGAACAGGCTTCTGGTAGGAGAGACCTAACAACACTTTATCAAATGACCAAAAAAAATCTGGGAAGAGACCAACTCAGGTGAAACCAGTGGGAAATAGTGAAGGAAACCCAGTTACCAAAAGGAGAAATGCAGGAAACGATGGGCTGACCACTTGAGAAAACTCTTGAGTCGACCATCGTCACAACCTGCAACTCGCACAGAAATACCACCTGCAGCCATAGAACAATCAGTGGACACAAACCCTTCGACAAAAGTAGAATCGAAGTCCTGAACGCCATAAAGCTGCTGAAATCTGGGAAAGCAGCAGAACCAGGTGAAATTCCGCCAGAGGCACTGAAAACAGACACAGAGATAACAGCGGATATGTTCACACCGTTACTGAAGAAGGTTTGGAAGAAAGGAAGGAAAGGTATCTGCAGATTGATTGGAAGAAGGGTTATCTTGTCAAACTCCCAAAGGACAGAGACCTAAGTCTTTGCGAGAACTGGGACGGAACTATGCTCCTGTCCAACCTAAGCAAAATATTAAGCCACATCATCCTGCAGAGAATAGAAAATGCTCTAAATTCAAAATTACGACCGCATCAAGCTGGCTGGCTGGCTTCAGGAAGAATAAACCATGTGCGGATCAAATTGCAACGCTACGCTATACATCATCACAGAACAGAGTATAGAATGGTAGGCAGCTGCTTCAACACTACGGTCTCAGTGCCACAAACCTTTATCAACCTCATTCAATAGCAGCTAAATACTATATGACGCTACATGCCAAGCGATTCACAATGGAAAGCTCAGTGATGCCTCTGAAGTGAAGACTGGAGTAAGACAAGGCTGTCTGCTATAACCGATCATCTTACTAATTGTGGTCGACTTGTTTGGATCATGCAACAAACTGTGAGGAGCAAGAAGATGGGAACATAATGTTTGATCGATGAAAGACCTTGGATGATTTAGATTTCGCCGACGATGATTTATGTCTAATGTCGCATAAACTTGAAGATCTGCAGGCAAACACCAACAAGTTGATAGAAGAGGTGAGGAAACAAAGATGTGAATGTAGAGAAGACAGAGGTGATGAAGATGCCCGACAAAACGAAAACAACAACAAGCATCAGTTACGATGAAAGGGAGAAACCCTAATGAAGTAGCCTTTTTCATCCACCTAGGCAGCATCATTCCAACTACAGGCGGTATAACGGATGAGAACATCAAATCCAGGATCGAAAAGACAGAAAGACAGGCCTTCATTAACCTGAAACCAGAATGGAGATCTACTGCACTCAGCATAAAGCGTGAACAAAATTCGGATTTTCAACACCAACGTCAAGTCAGTGCTTCCACGTGATGCTTCAGAGACTGGGCACCTCACGAAAACCATTCCCAACAAACTACACACATACATCACATCAACACCTGCCAACTACCCTCACTCGATACTGACATTGAAGATCAGATGGACAGAATAACAAGAATAAGCAACAAGGAACTCTGACTGGCTGGCAAAAAACCAACTGACGAAGAACCAATCGCCCAACAAATATGCAGAAGAAAGTGGAGATGGATTGTATTGGACATACACTGGAAAGGGCATTCAGGGAGATCGCGCACCAGTCCAGGCTGTTGAGTGGAACCCGAATGGGAAACGGTGAGCTGGGCATCCGTGGTGAGGGTGACATGGAGGAGATAGTGTGAGGAAGAAATGAAAGCATCTTGTCAGTCGTACAGCCAGGTTGAGAAGACTTCAGAGAAGGGAGTGAAATGGTGACGTGCTACTGAAGCCCTATGATCGACTAAGAACCCAAGGGACAAACAATAATAATAATAATTCCTATAGGTAATTGAAACCTTAGGGTCTAATTTTATTTTTTTTACATTTCTAACGTCGTTTCCCTGGTGACACTGAGCGCTACTTTTTCCATCTTTTAAAATAAGCTGTAATATTTACGAATTAATATATTTACAATCTCATCATTTCACCTTAATCACTATACTTTTCTAAGTTCCATATTCCAAACCAATACTTTTGGTCAACTAAGATTTTAACATGAATACGATAACTGTGTTGATTTAAGACAATGATAAAATGACTACTTTAGAAGACTCATAACAGTGGTGATGAGAATAAAATACTTGGAAATAGATTCTTCGGAGATCTACAATTTTCTCGAACAACAAATGACGATTATCGAGATACTTAAGCAATCCCAAAAAAATCTGTTACTGAATCCTCGCCTACTACGCCAGTTTTAATAGCTTCCTCAGTTGATGGCATCTCCAATAGCATCACTGAATTTTGCTAAGATCCTGATACCAATGAGACTTTCGATACTTGGTCCAGGCATTACGAAAACTACTTCAAAGTGAGTTTCGCTGGCCAAGATGATTCCTGAAAGGCGCGTCTCCTACTTCGAAAGCTTGGTCCACCTGAACTAGACCAATACAGCAACATGATTTGGCCAGAGAACCCACGTGAACGCACTTCCAATGCCATAACCCAGACACTGAATGGCATATCTGCAGAATATCAACGACTGAGTAACCTGCAGTGCGATACGAGTTTAGCGCAGTTCGGATGCCAGGATGGTTCTGAAGTACTTACAGTTGGCCAAACATTTGAGTCCATGACTGTAATGCTAAGGATCATAAGGACGGTTTTTGCCGTCAACACACAGAACGACGTGTACGAAGGTCATCCTCCAGATACCGCCGCAAATCTCATTCTCCATTGGTAGGTAAATCTGTCGGCTTTATGGCTGATTTTCATACTCATGCCCCTGTCCGCCGAAGGAATATCAAGAAGACTATTGGTCCTCTGATTAACAAGGAGAAACCCTCCCTGCGTCGATCAGACAGATGCAAGAAAAAGACAGTGTGGCCCAGTCTAACCCCAAATAACTCTTTTGAAGAGGGAGGTGATATGAGGATACAGAGAAATCACCATTCTGAAGAGCGACTAATCGAAATGTACTTTATGTTATCACGTCAACAGTTAGACAGACAGATGGGGGATCAGCTAATCAATAGGATCATTTCAAACAGCAAACTATCTTTATATTAACTGTATTTTTCCTTATTTCTGTCTTCTGTCTTTCAACCCGAATACACGTTTCTATACGTCCATCGTATCTTCTCCAATAATTAGTCGGGTTGGGAATCAACTAGGAATTTGTTGAACGTTGGTGGCTGACACTATATCCATGCATTGTTAGTAGCCATAGCACATAGCAGTTTTCGAAATGGTAAAAAGACACTTCTTTCTCAAATGAAAATTGAGCAGTTTACTTTGATATTTCTCAGAACTCAATAGTTTTCCAACTGTCCAGATGTGGTGTCAACAGAATTTCCGTTGGAAACCGCCTAGTCAAGATCATAAAGTGTTACCTGTAACAAAAAAAGTGTCATGAACTATGAAAACATACCACTGAACGATATGAGTAGTTAGAAATCACACAAGCTGAGATATAGATTTCGCTAGCTACGTCAGAATGATCCAAGGACCAAGCGGGTGTTTTGCTCGTTTGAGGTTAAGGTGATCAACAGTGTACCTGAACAAATACAGCCCAGTTGGGTTGACCACTTTGACACCCTGAGTTGAATCAGCAGACCAGGTTGAGTGATTTCTAACTTCTTATGTTTTTCAGTAGAATATTCCGAAATCATTGTGTATTTGAAGATTTAAGACTGTATTGAATTTTAATTATATTGTATTCTTTGAGCTGAGCTGAAGTTATATTGAAGTTACTGCTGATGATGTCGTCTAGAAAGACGATAAAAACTACACGATTAAATAACCCAGCTGAAGGGACACAATACAACCAAGATCATCCACCTGAGCTACAAATATTCTCCACTGCTGTGTTGAATGTCAATCTGCGTTCCTACCATACGGATTGTGTATCAGTTCACCATTAGTTCCGTTTGCAGCATAAATCTATCAAGATGACTTACCATTGAACTTTTATCAACTGAGAACAAAAAAGATAGACAATATTCAACTTGATATGATCACATATCGGTACAAGTTTCAATCACTCATGATAACATAGAAGGGGCAGGAGAGGTCAGCATAATGGATTGCAGACGAATAAAAATAGATGACGTCACTGAGCATAAAAATGAAAGGAAGATAGCAAAAACTGAATGATAGAGAGAATAATATAGTTGAAATCCACAAGATGTTCAAGACGTACAGTAAGAGAAAATGTAGATGGTTTTGTTCAAATGTCAGGGCATTATCCACTAGGCTACTGGCGTTTGTAGAGATAGGTGGTGAATTTCGAGTCTCAGTGGGGACAGCATCATTTACTGTGATCAGTCTTGAATAGAATAAAATGAGAGTCTAGAATTTTGGTGCTAGTCTACACTAAGAAACATTTAAAAAACCGAAACGCTGCCTACCTACAAACGGTTATATAACTGTGACAGTGGATTTCGAAAACAGTATCTCAGCTTATTTTGATGAAAGGGTGATGACAATAATGACCCCTTTTTAAAAAAAATCTGTATTAGAATAGAATTTCAATTCAGTCACTTCAAGACTACTTACTCAACGGGGTTAACATATATCATTTTTCACTTATCATTGAAAATAAACAGAAAATCTGTTAATTGCTTACAATTAAGAAATAAGACGAGAGGTTTTGTTAGTTCAGGATTCACTTCACAAGGTGTCTGCAAACCATTTACATCAATCATTCCTAATTCTGTTTGTTTATCCTCATTTAATGATGGGTTCATCTGTTGGATAATACATGAATTCCGTAGTAATCTTCTTTTTCTCTTGATACGTTGAGATTTATCACTATTTTGGAAGACAAAATATAAAAGACAAACGAAAAAAAAATGCGTCAAATAACACACTGATTCAAAATAAAACGACAGATTTTTGTCCAACGCGCCAAGTACTTGTTATATTCAATATTCAATGTACAATCTCAGTGTCCAATGTAGTGAAGCATTTAATATTGTCATGTATTGGAACAGAATTAAAACATTTAAAATTTCTATAAATTAAAAAGAATAAAATGATTACAATTACAACGTTGTGAAGTATAACTAGGTAACTACTTTTCAAAGAAATATACTGGAAGGAATCTTATTAACGTAATGTAATTGTATTTAGAATGTATAACGAGTCATTTCTAGAAGAGAGGAGATTATTGAAAAATCAGATTGAAAAAAGTAGTTTCTCCTCACTAAAGATGGATAATGGTTATCAATGGAATCCACGAAGTATGTTCCATCTTTTTTAAGTCTCATTAAGTGGGTGTACCTACCTTACAGTTAATGATACTTTGCTCTCTGAGATCATTCCAGCTGACTCAATGATGAACCACTAAAATCTACAGAATAGAATTTTACTTTGCATTATTGTGAAAGCTAAATGCAAAAAGATTACTATCCTCCTGTTGCGTAATACTATGAGCAGTTTCAAAATTGAACACCAATGATACCATAAGTCTAGTATCAATAATAACCTCTTTGACTGAAAGTTTCAAATAATAGTTTATACTAGAGGGCTGTATAAGAAGTTCTGTAAACTGACTGAACTTTGATACCGTTTGAATGTCTCGTTACTATGAAGGACATTTTGTTAGAAAAATTCCATTTCCTTGGAGTTTAAATCAAAAATGCACGTGCACCTGTATGCATACCAGAGTTTAGTCATATTGCATTGAAGAGAAATTCTGTTTAATCATTATATAACAAGAAATAGCTTTTGAAGGCTTATGGTGTTCAGAAAATGTCTAACTGATGACAAGCATTCTGACTAATACCCTTATTAACCTAGCTACGACTTATCACTTTATCGGTTTTCTACTGTATGTTCAACTTCATAAGTGTATGAAATCATCAGCTCTGAAGAGGAGTAAAACGAGAGTAATTCAAACTAGGGAAACTCATAATCAGATGATCAAGTAGGTGAATGGTGGTTGGCAGTCAGTTGATAAACTAGAATTAAAAATGAGTTATAGTCGAGAAGAAGCCTCCCTAAACAAGATGGAAAGTTTAAATATTTGTGGCTTTTAGTTTTTTTTTCGTTGAGATCGAGTCACTCACTGTGAGGTAGTTGAACTCGGCTAATGAATCTCACATGGGACGAAACGTGCATGCTCGATAAGCTGCTAGCTGTAATCCATCATCATTATCACTCTTGTAAAATAATATTGTTGTGACAGCGTGATGGGGTTGTGTGCGTGGGTATGATGAATACTGAGACTCAATAGGCACCTCAACCAAATACCCTTACAACTGACCTCCCTCAGTACCTTCTGCTTCACCCAGCCGCGTAAAACCAGAAGACAAAGACAGCCCATGACTGCAAGAACAGCGACAACAACGTTTACTAGGCAAATACATGACATTTGTATTTACAAAACTCTCAGAAAGTGAAGCCATAAATGAACCAATCAGATTTCTTGTATGAAGTCGAATTCCTCCAATCAGGTTCTCATGTCAGCGCATGTATAAATCATGACCTGAACATGATCTGATCGTGACTTGAAAACAACTCCCCTATTGGCTGCCTTTTGTCGCTACGTATCAAACATAAAAAGATATGCCTTAGTAAACCACAGAGTGTATAAATGTAGACAAAAATAGCTCCATGCTCCATAAACTCATCGTCACCCTGCTGGCATTAACAGCACTGAGTTTGTGAACATATACAAGCTAGTAGGAGAAAAAGAGAAAAGAAGAAAGGAAATTCAGTTCACAAGCGACTGCATGTCTTGATAGTGGGCAATAGGCCATACCTATTGTGTCGAGGTTACCCAAACCTCGGCTGTCAGTGCAGCTTTCAAACCCGTTACAAACCAACGAGACACATCTCCAAGTACCACACTAAAACATAAACCTTAATGAAAGTCAAGTATATCATTGATTTTTTGATAGTGTAGAATTGAAGAATTCCCGAGATTCATGAAAAACTGTTGTTATCACAGTTTCCAACTAATCAAGCAAAATCTGAATTTTTTCAAAAATCAGATAATGATCCATTGACATCAATGGATTCATTTTAGAGTCTAATCTCAGATCATAACTTTGTGAAATGAGTAAATCATTTTCTTATTGTAGAAGAAATTCACAACCAATCAGTGTGTTTCTAAGATTGGAGAAGTTTGCTGTATAATGTTGAGTTCAGTAATAAAAGAGCGTTTTCCAGATACTATGAGCTCCCCCCCCCTTTCTATATATTTATCAACCGATCTTTGGCTATGTACAAAACTAGGCTTGCAGCAAAGTCATAAAATAGTACTAATAGGATCTGTAAACTTTAGATGAAGTTTCCAGTGTCCGTCACTTTAGCTGCTAAGGTGTTTGAATTGATTTTTAAGGCTTCACTGGTGGTGAAGACTTAGCACAAGAAAATCTCAAGTTGGTCACCAATAACTATTTGGAATCAATTCCAGGTAACAGAGTAAGAATTCGTGGCAGTTTACGTTGGTTTCAATGCTCACCCTTGAACCCTGTGGTTTCATGAGGCGCAGGTAATGTCAACTACTTCAGCGTCTATGAACAGGTTAAGCCGATATCTAGATTGTCTTACTCTCTGAATTTAATTAACTTGATACTGATGAGAAATCACTTTTGAACCCTCTAACAGAAGTTTCATCTGGTTTCAACCAAAGTGGAATCAAGATTCACAGTTACTGACTGACATCCTTGTGAGGAGTCATTTTTGTACAAGGTAGATAAGATTATGTCAAGCGTAACCTGAAATAAACAGGAATGAGGTTCGCGATCAAATTCTGAATATGTCACCTACTCAAAGGAGAAGGGATCAAGTCGCAATAATAACTCATAACACTTGGTTGATTGATCTTTATGTACTGACATCAATGTTTTCATTACTCAAGTTATACAGGCTGATGGTTATCAGATGAATGGGCAAATGCAATGGACTTTCAACATCCCATTATGATTCGATCAGAATATCATCAAGATGCAATGGATATCAACTATCACGTGGAATTACATGTGCGTAATATTCTTTCTGAACTGTACTAATAGCCTAGAATGGTTAATTTTCATCATCCTGCATCATATTCATAACACAGTGGAGTGGCTCTCATGATTCACTAGCCAGATAGATAACGCTGTGGAATCTGAAGCGATTTATGCTGGGTCAGAGGTTAAGTAGGAATGATATCGCTCACTAGATGCAGGTACATTCAACTGACTAGTTCGACCCTGAATGAAACGCATCTCGTTGGTTCAGCTGGTCACCATTATCCATCAATAGTATCAACAGCAACGTACTACTGCATACTAAGATAATGTATCATCGTCTCATAAAAGACCAATGTATTCATTTTCTTCTCTCAGAAATGTTTTTTTTCCCCTAATATATTTTTCATTTTTGAGTTGACGATTAACTTAAAGTGATATATTCACTTTACATCAAACCAACATTTTTGTATACATGTGAACATACTGAGATAAGCAAATTGTCATAATACTCCAAGCAAATAATAAAAATTACGTGGAAATAAAAAAACAAAATTCGGATTATCAGCACCAACGTCAAGTCAGTGCTTCCACGTGATGCTTCAGAGACTGGGCACCTCACGAAAACCATTCCCAACAAACTACACACATACATCACATCAACACCTGCCAACTACCCTCACTCGATACTGACATTGAAGATCAGATGGACAGAATAACAAGAATAAGCAACAAGGAACTCTGACTGACTGGCAAAAAACCAACTGACGAAGAACCAATCGCCCAACACAAATATGCAGAAGAAAGTGGAGATGGATTGTATTGGACATACACTGGAAAGAGCATTCAGGGAGATCGCGCACCAGTCCAGGCTGTGGAGTGGAACCCGAATGGGGAACGACGAGTTGGGCGTCCCAGCCGAAACTCTTGTTATCGATTTGACAGCCTTGTGTAGCCTTTGTGTGCTAACTATAATTCTTTATAAATTTTAGTAGCGTTTTAACGTGGTGTTGAATGCATATGAGTATTTTAAACGTAATCAAGACATTTATTTTAAATTTCATCGCTCCCAGTAGCCATATTGGTCAATAGAGGGGAACCAACACCATGTTGTCTATTCTCTAAACATCCCACTGACCTAATTCTCTCATTTATTTATCATTCTGGTCACCAAGATGAAATAATTGGCCATTTTGATCCTTGATTGATATTAGGTGGTTGTGAAGCAATAGGCAGGAAGCTTTGGGTTTAGTCCTAAGCGACAATTATTAGTAAGTTGTATCTATAATATCGACAGAAATGATCAAGTTTCAGAAATACAATGACCAATTAATATATATTAAACCTATTCTTATAGGTAAACAATAGTTGAGGGAGTAGGTCATGAGTAACACTTCTGATTGATATTCTAGGTGATACAGGTTCGCATTTCCGATTGATAGGTGTTCCCTCTTAGATTGATGGTATACCTAACTGATGAGTAGCAACAGGTGTAAGAACTAAACTGAGTAGAATGATCTTTGATTATATTTTGGTGAATATTAGACTTTATAACTCCTATTGTTAATATATTTCCGAGGATTCAGCGTGAAATGCTGCCGTTAAACTATACAACTTGACATCTTTATGCACTTATCATATGTCTTGGTAAGGAACTGATATATCTGATGTAAAAGTGAAATTATAGATTGAGATTTTGAGGTCACTAGACATTTCATTTCTCTTGTTCAGAAAGAAGACGAATTCTTAGAGTTTTCGAGCAGTTACTAGGTAAATAACATTAAAAGTCATGATTATTTGAAACTGGTTAGCAAAGTCATAGGGGTTTTACTACTGAAGTGTCCTATACTAAGACTTAGAAGCTGCCCAGTTCTCTCAAGTTTTCAATATTTTCCCAACATGAATCTGAAAATGGTTTACATAAAAGTCTATAATGCTAGGTGTTTAGGATTGGTTGTCACCAAGCTCTGCTTCAACCGGGTTCCGTGTTTTTTTTTTTGACATTGATCAACACGAGAAATCTCATCTCCTTCAGGTAACTCTAAGCCATATCAATCAATGATGAAGTTCGACGCTTTACCATCAAACTAATGAGGCCTGTCTCAATGTCAAAGTAGTTAGTATCAACTAATTCAAGTTTGGTACTTTGAGCGAACATAAAATCTGTCAAGATTGAAAGTATGTCTTGGTGAAAATCGTCATTACATACGAAAACTGGTTGATAATGAATGATCCTTAAGATCAGGGAAACAGTTCCATATAACTCACCTTTTTACTAAGAGTATTAACTTGGAATTAATGAATTTCAACTGTAAGTCAAGATATGACAATTATATTTGTCACCATTCCATGATCGATTCATCCATTAACGTTTTTCACCGGGATGAATAAATTTCATATTTTGCACTAATATACATT